TCGGCAGAGTGGCCCCAGGGTGGTGCTCTTAGAGCCAGGCAGCCGCCCAGGGAGCGAGCCTCGGGGAACGTGTCCCAGGACAGAGGGCGTTGTGTGCGACGGCCTCCCTGGTCTGCACCCTCTGGCCGTCATGGTCCCCTGTGCACCACCGTCTGCGTTTGGAGGCCCGTGCCCATCCCGCCCCCAGCTTACGTAGCCTGGAGTGGGGTGGGGTCGCCCGCTGGGCCTCTGTGGCTAGTGTCTAGGGGAGTCCCGGCCCTCTTCCCAGGCCCCTCCTGGGCCTGCCGCTCACACAGTGAGAGTGGCCGTGCTCGGGCCGGAGCTGACCCTAGCCCCGGGGAGGGAACCGCAGACGCCGGGCTCTGGACCTGCGTCTTAGCTCGTCCTCTGCCCGCGGCACGTCCTGTGACCGAAATCGGGGTGCTGGGGGTCCCGGAGGGGGACTTGCAGGGGACCCTCAGGAAGGCGCCCCGGTGCCCTCGTTGGAACGTGGAGGAGCGGCAGCCCCTCTCGTGGCCCGCCCGGTGCCCTGCGGCCTCTCTGAGCTCCGCTGTGCACCCCCAGACCTACATCTCCCCGAGCGCGGCCGTCTTCCACGCGGAGGCCGAGGGCGGCGAGGCGGCCGCCCTGCTGCACAACATGCGTGTTTACGGCACGTGCACGCTGGCCCTCATGGCCGCCGTGGTCTTCGTGGGCGTCAAGTACGTCAACAAGCTGGCCCTGGTCTTCCTCGCCTGCGTGCTGCTCTCCATCCTCGCCATCTACGCCGGCGTCATCAAGACGGCCTTCGACCCGCCCGACCTCCCGTGAGTGCGGTTGGGGCCGGCTCCCTCGTCCCGCCTCCTGCTTCCCCACTGGCGCCTGAGCCCCGGGCCTGCCGAGTGGCCGCGCCCCCGCCCCCTCTGAACTTGAGCGTGCTCCGTGTGCCCGAGGGGCGTGTCCTGGGAGGGGCTGGGAGGGGCCCGTGGCAGGCGGCCGGAGGTGGGAAACGCGACCCCTTGGTGTCCCCTTGGCGCCCCAGGGTCTGCCTCCTGGGGAACCGCACGCTGGCGTGGCGAAGCTTTGACGTCTGTGCCAAGGTGCACTACGGTTCCAACGGCACAGCGCCCACGGTGCTCTGGGGCCTCTTCTGTAACGGGTCCCTGTCGGACACCGCCTGCAACTCGTACTTTGCCGAGAACAACCTGACGGTCATCCAAGGCATTCCTGGCGTAGCCAGTGGTGTCGTCCTGGGTGAGGCGCTGGCCGGGCTTTGGGGTGGGGGTGGGGCTGTCGGGGACTCGGCGAGCTGGCGGGGTGACAGTGCGCCCCTTGGCTGTGAGGTTCTGCTCGTGGCTCGGTGGGAGGGGTGGGTGTGAGGGCCCTCAGAGGCCCCAAGACCTGGCCTC